GAGTGATATGTAGTGCTTGGTGGGACACGCATTCAACACTAACAGGTTTTACATATCAACCAAAATATTCCTGTTTAAATTTTCTTCTTTGATATGGGAGAAAAAGAACAGGTACATCAACTATGTACATCAACTATGTTGTTTCCTTCTTTGTGACAAAGTCCTATACAATATTCTGCATGTCAAGGCTGAAAACAGTCCTGGACTGTATGCAAGAGGCACCATGAAAGATCTTGAAAGAGAAAGTTACACAGGTATTATATGTCATAATTTATTAAGTTTATACTTGGCATAGTACACTATTAATGACAATATTATAGTTGCTTTGCAACTGAGACAAACAAGTATCTGTATTTGCACATTTTTGAAAACAGAGTAGGCGCTCTCACCTTTTTTAACATTCATCAATGTCAATAAAGTTAAAAATTAAATAACTTTTTAAAAATTACTTCATATGCACTACATTTCATTATGGAATAACTTCAGTGCATTATGTAAAACCACTGTAAGGAGTCTGGGGAATTTCAGTGCTGTAATTTCTCAAGGCAACCTTCAGAACCTTTATTATAACACACAAAATCTCTAATAGATATTTAATGGTATAAAACAGACAACAAGGCACTACTGCTAGCCTGCTGCTCAATCTACTCATGAGCCAAATTCCACTACTCTCTTGAACCACACCATATATTTTAAGTAAACTGCTTCCCAGTTGGGCAAGACAGGATAAGTATTCATCCCTCCACATCAAACGTGCATCAAACATGATGGAGTCAACTTAAGCCATAGCATGTAGAAGTATCCCACCTATGCGAGTTTTTACGGGAGATAAACAAACCAGCTTGCTAGTGCTGAAATGAGCCAGACCTCCAGAACAACCTGGCAAAGCTCTTTTTGCAATTACATCAGATATGAGTGTAAGGATATACACCTTGATGATCCATCAATCTGCACAGTAGTGGAATATAGTGTCCTGTTAATGTGCTGACCCATATCAGATGGTGAGCGTAGGCAGGTATATGTGTATCACCAACGCATTAGTAGCACTTATGAAGTCCATCTGTCCAAACACAGTTATTGCAGAGAAATTTCCACATTTTACAGCCCTTCCAATCAGCAGAACAGCCACTGCTTTGCAAATATCCATGACCATGATGTCAATGCCAAACTGATCGCCAACATATCTTTAGTATGCTGGCCAGTTTCCATGAAGCAAAAGCAACAGAGTCTAAAACATTTTTGTCTTTCTCACCTTGATGTTCAATGATCTAAGTAATAAACCAAGGTATTTGTATAGCTGCAAAAACGAGGCTTTCTCCTTGTGATGCTTCTGAGTCTACCCACAGTTTGTTATCCCATATTACCATAACAGTACTGTCACAATATTTTCATTTTGTAGGCCTAGGCCAGAGGTAGCAGTCTTTGAAAATGGATAATCAGCCCAATCCGTTCCATTTCTCCACATGGTGCCATTCTGTTGATGCTGGTTTGCTGGATTTACATTGACAGCTTTAAAATTCTGTCTCCATTGTTTCCCAACCAATACACTGATTTTGCAATAGTCACCTTCAATTTATGGTAGTAACTCTTTTCAGAAATAATTTCAGTGACTTTTCCCTATCCCATTCTTTAGTAACTGTACTAGCAGCCTTTGCTGATCACTTCAAAGTCTGGATAAAAGGCATTAAATTATATAGAGAAGACTGAGGTCAGTTGTTAACTGTGCTCACAATCTTGGACATTAAAGGCTGTCAAAGAAGGATACTGGACTGAGAAGCTTGTGCTAAAATACCCAGTGTTCCACATTTATTAGGGATAAAGATGGTCTGCTCTTTAGCACTGCTCCTTGCTTAAGAGTCAAAAATCATGGTTTGAAAACTGGCAGCTAATATAGTATGATGTGTTAGGAAACGAAAAGCCCGGGAAGATCACAAAGGAAACTTACTATTAGTGCCTGGAATGTGAAATCACTCTGACAGGCTTGTAATGTGGCTAATGATGAATTTGTGTCTGCATTGCTTTTATTAGTAGTGACTAGCTATGAATGCCAGTGATTACAGCTGACTCTGCTTACTTTGAATGGGCAGGATTTGTGTCAGAGTCAATCCAACCCACACCCTAATTTGTCTGTCTGGAGAACAAGATTGTTTTGTATCAGGTTCATGCCACAGGACAAGTTACTTTTACTAATGGAAGTATAGAAAGAAAGGATTTTGAACTTAAATACAGCTCAGTGTACTGGAGCTAGCTGAAAAATATAGGGAGGCAAAATTTCTAAAGCTAAAATACTGTCATATGCTTGCTCAAAAGCAAATGAACATGGGATGCAGTAGCTGGTGGATGACAATGTAAAGTATAAAACATGGCACTAGGGAATATTAAAAAAAGAAAAATCTAAACCTGTATGAATCTGTATGTTCTTACTGCTTGTCTATAGAAAGAGCAGAACAATCTTCCCAAATAATGACAAGCCAGGTAACCTCATTGTGGCAGAGGCTCATATTCTTTTAATGAGATGACAGGTAACTTAAAGAAAAATATTTCTGTGACGATGAATAACCAGAATACAAAGACTAACAAGACTGACCTGGTCCTGTTTGGAAGGCAAAAAAGACAAACAGCCACCCTCGATGGCATTCCACAGCTGCTGCCTGAGTACTGTACATCACATAGGCACAAAATCCACATTCATAATGGTTCTGGGACATTCCACACGTCATTAATTATGAAAGAAAAGTATTTTTCCTGACTTCAATAGAGTGAGCTAACACAATCCTAAACAAAATATTTTAATTTTTTTTCTCCTGGAACATATAGCTTTGCTGCAGTCCAACGCTACATGCTGCAACATCCTTACTGCAAAAGCCAGGCCTACACACATGTTTATGTTTGTGTTCAAAATAAGCTGTTATTAGTCTACTATACCCCTTTGGTAAACTGCAACAGGCCTCTGGATTAGATAGAGAAGAAACAGTACTAGTAACACAATCATAGATTTGCCAAGACTCACCATGCTACAGTTACTATTTGCTGAAATGCACTTCTTGTCATCACACCACTGGCAGCCGTTTGTGTTGGCAGTACAGCTGGCACAGTCTGCGTACCGGTAACATCTGTCATCTGCAGCAGCTGCAACACACAGGGTCACACAGAAACATTGCACGGGAGGAGAACCACACCACATATTAAACATTTGCTTACAGTCTTTTCTGTTCCACCCTTCATTCGAACTCTAGCTATTCATAAAGGTTTAAGTTACTGTGGGAAATTAATTCTACTCAGGTAATAAGATTTACTCCTTTAAAAATTCCTTCAGTAGCAACTAATTTTGAAGGTTCCTAAGTTTTACATCAAATCAAGGAATATTCACTGATTTGCAGCATACAAGATCTCTTAGCACAGTGCATAAATTAAGAGCATCAAAAAGTTTCTTGAACTACTCATTCTTCCCTCCTTTAACACAGAAGAAATGTTTTCCACAGATGCAGGCTTCAGATAAAAGTATTAGATTGCAATGCAAAAAGGCAACGGTAAATGTACTAAATACAAAAATTTAAGACAGCTACTAGCAACACAGAGATATTTCAAGTCTTAATAAAATAATTTATAAGCCTAATAAAGAATGGTAAGTTAACAGTTCTCCCCTTTCTCTACAAAAACATCTGAGGAAAAGTACATTAAATCCTTGATGCAAACCTTTGGGACCAGGACTAAAATCTATATTACTTAAAACAATTTGGGAATACAAATGATTACTTCTGTTTAAAGGAGGCAAAAAACTGAAAAAAACATATGATCCAAAAGAGAAGAATTCCCACCATCTCCACATCAATTACCAACGTTTAGTTCCTGTGTGGTTTGGCTTCCCTGTCTAAAGATTGTGCAAGCTGTAAAGATCCTCTTGCCAGGAAAGCCTTGCTACCCAAGAATTGACAATGTGAAAACCCATTTAAATTCCTCCTTATCCTCTAATATTGACTAACAGCACTTTCTCAGATGATACCCTAGAACAAATAACAATTGAGTCAAGTGGTATAAAAGAATATATGAAAAATTGGCTTTTGGCAGATTACCAGCTGAAACTGGAAGGATTTGACATCAGCGAAGCAGAGCTATCCACATAACTTCCTTGAAACTGGAATTCTACACACCTCATCTTGCAATTTTAGCTGTCGTTTACTCCCACTGCAGCAGCTGTACTTTAGAAACTGCTCTTTTTAATTTTCCTTCAGCCTCAATGTGTGTTGTTTTATTCGGTTTTGTTTGTTTTGTTATGATCAGCTTTTTATAAGATCCACTTTCATCTCTGTTAGTTCTGAACTTAGTGTCTTCAATTTTTTCTCTTTATAAAGAGTTGACATTTTCTAAACTCTAGATCTCTAAGTGTTATGAAACTGTACAACAGAAAGCTTTACGTGGATAAATGTTTTGTTTTATAAATGCACCTTTTTCCTGAGTTGGTTATATCCAGCTTAGAAACAAATAAAAGCTAACAGAAAAATAAAGCCTCTTGAAGGACTGATTAATAGTAGAGCTTATAATTTTTAAACAAATGTTACGAGTAGACTGGCAGTTTAATTACATGGTAGTTTGAATATTCAGTATACAGCCAAAGTTTGGTTAGCAATTTTATACTGTGCTGAAAGGAAAGATGCACCAAAAAAATAGCAGGTGTATGTAGCAATGACACATTCCGTTCACGTGAAGTATGAGAACAACTCTTGCACCAGCAATGTATTTTTGACAAGCCAAAATACTTAGGAATAGGGTGCAACATGTATTCATAACGTTACATTGGTGTCTCAAATAATATAGCTATCACAATGCTGCATGGAAATCCACATGGCACAGTTAAACCGATTTTGACATAGTGCAGCAAAAGGGCTTGTTTGCCTCAAGTCTGTTTCCAGCTGTGACAGCACAAATACTCCTGTTTGATAGATTTTGAAGCCTTCCCTCTCTCTTACTGGTACAGATAGACATGAGATCACCATATGCCTGCAATGCCAGATACCACTTGCAACATGTATCTGTGGTTCGTCTTTTGTGGGCCATTTTAGTTTTCTCCTACATAGCATTGCAGATTTGACACTATAAGACCAGAATTAATTTACCTGTTTTCTCAGGACACTTTGCTCTAAGGATGTTATTAGCATGTCCAGATTCCCAGGATTCACAATGTTTCTTGTTCCACAGACACCTTATGCCTGGACGTGCATTTTTACACAGCTCTTCATCTCTGAATGCTTCACAGTTTGGAGGCTTGTACACAAGGATGTCATTCAAAAGAACACTTGAAAAACCCCCAAATATATACATGGACCTGTTACAGAAAAGCAAGTAAAACAAAACTGTTATTACAGCCATAGATACATTGTCTTGATTTCTTTAGTTTTCTTTATAATAAAAAAATAACACAATATTATAAAAAATATTCTTATTCTCCTCCTCTCTCTAATAAAGCCTCTTGCCAATGGTTCCATTATAAAGACTGATAAGTTTTTCAATTTATTTCTCCATGAAAAAAAAATTCAAAGTACACTGTGCTGTATGTATTACTGACCGCTATATACCAAATGTCTGGGAAGAAGGAAAAAGAGCTGTGGAGGAAACTACTCATTTTTTGAGTTAGAGAATGAGAACAGAGTGTGAAATAATGGGCTGCAAGAAATGAGAACATTTTTCTTCAAGATTTCAAAGACAGCCAGTAATAATTGTCAGAGGGATATTGCTTTTCTGTAGTATTTCCAGTGCAGTAGCTGCTGACATCAAAACCAGGAGACTAGACTTGAGACCTCACCCTTCTCATTTAGTATCAAAACCAGTCTCAGTGACAAGATAATAATAAAAAACCTGTATACCTGTTGTATCACTCTTAAAACAGAATTAGTCATACAATTATAACAGAGCATCAGAACAGGCTGCCCAGGGAGGCTGTGGAATCACAGAATCACCAAGGCTGGAAAAGACCTTTAAGATCATCAAGTCCAGCCTAGGACCAACACCACCACATTGGCTAGACCATGGCACCAAGTGCCACATCCAGCCTTCCCTTGAACACACCCAGGTATGGCGCCTCGATCACTAGGAGGTCCATTCCGATGTTTAATCACCCTCTCTGTGAGGAAGTACTTCCTGATATCCAACCTAAACCTCCCCTGGAGCAGCTTCAGCCCATGCCCCCTTGTCTTCTTGCTAGTTGCTTGGGAGAAGAGCCCAACCCCCACCTGACTACAACCTCCCTTCAGGTAGTTGAAGAGAGTGATGAGGTCCCACCTGAGTCTCCTCCAGGCTAAAAAACCCAGCTCCCTCAGCCTATCCCTATAAGACTTGCCCTCTAGTCCCTTCACCAGCCTTGTTGCTTTCCTCTGGACCTGCTCCAGCAGAAGTCTCCATCCCTGGAGACATTCAAAACACACCTGGGAACGTTTCTGTGTAATATGTTCTAGGGGATCCTGCTCTAGCAGGGGGGTTGGTCTGGATGATCTCCAGAGGTCTCTTCCAACCCTTAGCATTCTGTGTGATTCTGCAACAGCAGAAATAGAGAGTATTTCGTATTTGTACATAAAAATCCTACTAAAAATACCATTAAATTCAAGATAAAAAGGCATTTTCACCTTGAAACTAATTCATTGAAAGTGACAGTTCTCAAGGTATCAGACAGAGATACAAATCACCAGTTGCTGAATTCATTAATTCTACACATTTTTCTCTTAACGAAGTAATCTGTTCATTGATTAATTTCAAGTGCTCTGTGTACAACTACAACTACTGCTATCTTTTTAAAAATTATTTGTAGTATTACTTATCACCTCCGTTATTTCTGACCTATACAGTAGCCATAGAGGATCTCTAAGTTGTCCACATATACATACTTAAATACTGCATTTATTAGCATGATGAATAATGTAGACGAAGAGTGATCAATAAGCACAATGATCTCTAGTGCTGCAACTGTCAGGTAATAGGCCATTTGGCAACCAGCACTAGGAAAGCCAAGAGCAGAAATTTATTTAAACCTAATTACAGTTCTCTACAGTTTTTCCCTAATACAAGATGTTTGTGCTACAATTTTTTCTTTTGGGGATTGGAGTGGGGGAAGCAGAGAGTTCAGCTACCAAAACCAGTGAGCTCCAGATCCACTCCATCTCCTGTTTCTACATGATGAAGCTTTACTGAGACCCTCTACTCAACAAATGACATTAAAGTATGTTACATGTTACAGAGGATAAGCAATATACTTAGTTTAGATGCTGGCAGGCTTTTTTTCCCAGCTACGGGTTAAATCACTGCATCAGTATCTCCAAAATCTTACTTTTTCTTAGCATATTTAATTTACATGTTTTTGATTTTATGATTGTGTAAGAACAAGGAATTGTAGCATGCTGTAAAAATATTTCTGCTGTTACATCTAAGTGGGAATTCCAGTTGGTATTGAATTTTGAATTCAGTGCAGTTCACAATACAGATCAAACAGCTCAGTACAATGTCCATATAAAATGCCACTGAATTCCATAGCATGACAAATTGATAATTAGCTGTTTTGCTTAGCTAAGACAAGTCCCTGACAAGCACTACTTTTCATGTTAATAAATTTATCAGCTGCATATTATTGAACCATACTTCATATAGGTAGAATTTCTGCTACAGTTTTTATACTTCAGAAGGAGTCAGGACAATGTAAAAACGCTTCATTTACCCATTACTGACAACAGCAGTGTGACCAAATCTGTTGACATCTCGATGTAGATTAGGTTTTGGCAAAATCTTCCATTCATCACAAGCTGAAAGGCAAAACAAAAGCATATGAAAACATGTACACAATGTTTCCAAAAGTTTTCAGCAAAATATATGCAAAATGGATTTTATCAGACCCTCGTTTGTATTTTAAGTATCAACTAACTTCAGTGCCTTTATTACCCTCCTTGCCCAGGGTTATCGCCACTGGTAACCCTTTCTCTCCATTGTAAAAACAGGTCATCTATACCTCATGATTTTCAACTGTTATTAAGATACTGTCATCATCCACTGGTCTCGTGAAACAAAATTTGATGGACATTCTTAGTCATTCTTAACACTAGTTTCTAGGATTTTTTAAATTGGTCTTCAAAGCCAAAAGGATTTCACTGACTTCTTTTGCTGTTGTCACTAGGTGAAAGCTGAAGTGCTTTTTTCTGCTCCCTAATAATCTGCTTTATCCTGTTGTTTAAACATGTTACTTATTTGGACATCACAGTGTCCTTCTAGAGAGTTTAATTGCAGAGACATGCATTTATCAACATACACCACAGATCAGTGATATACACTCAATTATCAGTTTTTAATCACACTCCATTGACACCATTTTGTAATCCTTCTTTTAATTTCTTTTTAAGTAGGCTTTGGATTTTGAGGTAGGTTCTACTATTAAATAAATCACTGATGCATTTTCTGAAGAAAGGATTTGCATTTGTGCCTCAATGTGGTTTGAAGCCAGAATAACAAGTTAACACTTTTTATTTTAAACCAGTTGCAAAATTATCAATTTGGACATTAAAACACAATATAAATTACCTATTTGCTCAGCATACTTTTCCAAAATATAATAGTGTACATGACTGTAGAAGTTAGAGTCAACTTTAGTACCACAAAGAAGCAGAAGTGTCCTACAGAGACCAATACAGAAGAGGTCAATGGCATACAGGAAGACTGTGGAGAGCAGATCTGCAACCTCTTTTCAGGGTATTAAGGCAATTATTATGCAGGTTGATTTTTTACTTTATAGTGCTGAATTAATTTACCTGTAAGATTCCAATGACAGCCACATCTAAATAAGGCATTCTTAGTTAATTTTCAAATTTGGAATAATTTATGCAAGTTCTAGATATTATTACAAAATAAGGGAATATCATAATCAGACCACACATTTCCAGGAAGTCTACTTAGGGTTATAAAAATGGGTGGAAAAAAATATTTAAAAAACAAATTCAACTTAAACCAACAAAAATTAATAGCAAGAAATCCAAGAGGGACAAATCATCCTTCAGGCTGGTATTGCGTGGAGCATAACTCACTCCAGCTGCTGACTAAGCTGGTGCTGTTCTCAACCCCACTGTCAGACCAGCTCATCTCTGCCAGTGCTGCTGCTCTGGCACTTCTAATGCAGACAAGTATTTGCAGCAGCACTTTGTCCAGTTAGTTATTTTCCTGTTAGCATACCACACTGAAACAGGTCCATGTGAAGTCATGCAAGGATGGACTCAGCACATGAGAGGGGGCAGGAGAGCATGGATGTGGGCAAAACTGCAGCAATTCACCACTAGACTGACTTGGGCTTCCACTGAGTCACAGCCTGAGTCCCCAGAGAGTCAGAGTGAGACTGTGGCTGTGAGAGATCAATCAATTACATCTTTTTATAAATTGGAAACAGAAACTGAAAGCACATTATTACCAAAGTAACACGGATGGTTCAAACAGCAATAATTTCAACATCAGATGGAAGACTTGGAATCAATTTAGTAGTTGGAAAAAAAAGAAAGTGGAGCAAGTTGAAATCCGTGTCTTACAGGACCACCAATGCATCCCCAAAATTGTGCCTTTTTCTCAACTTCTGCCTCTATACGTACAATTATTAATGTTCTATTAGAATAAAATTATGGCTTCAACAGAAGAGATCACAGTACTAAGGCACCAATAATTACTTATGATGACAAGTTTCAGGTGAAGGTAGGAGCAGTATTTAATATAAAGCTGTGTACTCCCCACACCCCAGCATAAAGCTGGTATTTGATGCCTCCATGGTGTTTGAATTATGTAAGAAGTTCAGAATAAGAGTAACATTATTTACTTAAAATAGGTGATAAATAATAATGAGTTCAATTTGCTTTTTAAAAGCCATAAAAAGAAACCATTTTAACACTAAAACTGACCAACAAAATCATGCTTCTAAGCTTCAAAATCAAGGTCTTACTGCTGTAAGTCAATGCACATTAACAGAAAAAGCAAGTTTTAGCTCATATGCCTTTGACAGTAGAGGAAACATTTTTTTAAAAACCATATCAAATTTTCATCTACCTTGGAAAATGTTGCATGTTAATTTTTGTATTTTTAAAAACACATATACAAATATATAATGTTCCCTGTACTTAGAAATTTAAGAGAAGGTGGGATTTAATGCCAAAGGAAAACCTTAAAACCGTAAAAAAGGCTGCTTTTGAGATAAGAAAACCTTGAGGGCTGGAGATATAATAATTCCTTTCTTGCTGATGGTATTTGTCAAACTGGCAGGTCTTTACAATAGAGTACAAGAAAAAAAATGGGGAGGGAAGCACGTAACAAATAGCCTTCCCTCTTATCTCCTCCTAGCCTTCTCAATGACTACTGAACACTGAACAGAGCATTGTGCAAGAATAACACTTTTGCACAGCTTTAAGTTCCAATCTGAGCTTCTCTGTACAGATTGGTTAATAGAAAAATAGTTAATAGAAAATACAGATAGGTAACCAGATGATTTTTGGTGGGTTTTGGTAAAGAACCCAATAGAATTCATCCCTGCCCATCATCTTCAAGCTTCTTTTGACAGTACCCACATTTCCAGACTTACTGTACAGTTCCAAGAAGAAAGTGACAAACAGCAAACGCAGTGTGAGTTTCAACATTATTTATCACTATTACAGCCTTCTCTGTCTTCTGTTTGTTGCATTTATACATAACATAGACATACATGTATGTAAGTATTAGGCACTGGAATAGGTTTCCTAGGGAGGTTGTGGAAGCCCCTTCCCTGGAGGTGTTGCTTTGTGCAACCTGGTCTAGTATGAGGTGTTCCTGATCACACCAGGGAGGTTTGATCCTGGTGATCTTTAAGGTCCCTTCCAACCCTAACCATTCTATAAATCTGTGATTTTTAAGTATCTTTATTAACCTAATTCAGATGTGAACGCTAACTGCAAATTTTATACTGCCTTCCACTCCTAAACAGGTTTTAATGGAACTCTGGACAACCAAATACCATAAGTAACTAAAGCAGCATGCGAGCTGGGTACCAATAAAAAAAACTCTTATTTTCCAATTAGTTCCACGCTGCATAAACATTTTTATTCAGATAATAAAAACCTCCTTACACTCAGGAAAAGATAAAGGCTAACACATTTGAAAAAGCAAGAATTGAATTTAAACTATAGATCTATCATCTACAGCACAGTCTATATATATAAACTGTGACTCCCCAAGCAATATTAAAAAAAACAAACAAAACCAAACAAAACCACAACACAACCACCTTGAGCTTCACTATTAAATGGAGCAATCAGTGCAATTTTATTATGGTTTTCTTCTTCAAATAGTACAGTGATACAGAGGTAATTGCTACTACAGACAGCACCAGAACTACATTTATGACTTAAGTGTTCAGGATTGCATAAAACTTAATCTATCACAGCCACTGCTTTACATTTTCTTTGTAATAGAAAATAATAGACAATCCATTTGTAACTCCAGAAAGTGAAAGAATTGTAAAAATAGATTGTTTTGCTTTGGAAAAAAATACATCTTTGTACACATTTAAACTTACTCATCTTGGCGATGACAAAAATTAGAGTTGAAGCAACGTATTTCACAAGCAAATAATTTACAAATAAAAAAATTCATTTCATTACAAAATATAAGCAATTTTTGATTACAAGTGAAACTAAACTCATGAGATAATCTTGAAAATATTTTCCAAACAAGAACACAATTTTGAACTTTATTTGAATACCCTAAGAGAAACTTAATAAGTATTGCATTTTGGCTCAAATTTATGTAAATGTATGTAAAAGCACATCCTCCAATTTTCCTAACTTGCACCAAATAATCCTTAGTTGTAGTTAAAAAAATATGTATCTTCATGAAGTGGTTTAATTTTGTTTATAAATTTAAAAAAAAATTAAGAAGCACTTTGTATGAGATGTTGTTTATTTCAATACTCATCCTTGCAAAGAATTCAGCCCACTTATTGAGATGCATACTCATTAGAATAACTTCTGCAAAACAACTGTACTTCAGAGCAGCAGTTGGGACTGGAATTTTGTGTGGCACACAGATCACTATGGTTTCTCTCCGAAGTGTATTCTATTCCTTAGACAATGTCTGTAATTAAATAAAAACTCACCAGCACACTTGCCTGGTTGAACCAGTCTACCACTATGTAGGCAGAAGATAATGGTTAACTTGAGGCCAACAGTAACTGACTCATGTGATTTGTTCCAGAAGAAAAAAAAAAGCAGACTAAACTAATGTCAAGATTTGTTCCAAGAAAACAAAATACTGACGCGTGTCACACTTTCACTCTAGTTCTATTACATTTTTAGTTAAACTAATCTCTGCAAAACCTAAGCACTTTGTATACTTCAAAGTCAGTGGTGATTAACTACTTCCTGCCATGTCTCAGTCTCCCAAAGGCATGAAATTTTTATATATATTACAAAGTCATGTGAAGGAATTGGGAGAACTTGGGGTACAGGTCCTAATCTATAATTTCTCAACTACATGGCAGAAGACTGGGGGAACAAAGTAAGATTTTATTTTGAAGGATAAATCCCTATTACTTACAAGTAGGCAGCCAGAATTTCAGACACACATGCCATTTTGTACTAACTGTCATTATTAGGTATGATTACTCTACACAAACTGCCCTTTGCATATGTAGCTCCCTGATTTCTGAAGAGCTGTCATGGAGCACAGATTTCCACAAGCACTGCGTAAATATTTTTGCTAGATACACCAACCCAAATTCCTTTTCTAAAAGAGAAAACTGCTATAAGTATCTCTCAAAATGCTGTAGCACAAGAACTGAAAAAAGATCCTAATCTGAACACTGGCATTACATGCATTATAGACAGGATCTATAACAGGCCAGGTAAGGCCCTTCAACTTCTTTTTATATACTGAACAGTCAAGTATGGCCCTCCAGTGAACAGCAGATAAACTAAAGCCCTAATAAGCATCAGCTTGAAAACTGCAGACCAACCTAAGCATCCAAAAGACTGCACCCAGTGACAACCATGCCCCTATTGCCAAGGTTCCTCTTTCAGCATAATGTAAGCAATGACAGCACAGTCAAAAAATACCTCACCTCTATGAGGACAAACATTTGTGGATCTTTAAGAAACTGCCAGAGCAACTTGGCAGCCAGTCAGGTGGTAAAGTATCAAAGGAGGACAAAAGTGTACCAAAGACTAGGTTTCTAAAGCTCATTTTCTGCAGACTTGTCAGTCTATGTATACAGCTGTTTAAGTAAATACACTGAACAATATTAAATTATGGAAAAGAGGGCATCATAATTGTTTTTATAACATCTCCAGATCTCCCAGTCTTCAGCTTTAATTGATATATTCAAATGAAATAAGCATTTAAAATTACTGAATTCAGCTCTTGGTTCATAACACTAAGTTTTAATTGTTTAAAATATGGATGGAGAGTAAGTTCAGTACCTGGAGAGCTATGACTGATGCCAGAAAAGAAAGAAATTTTTTTAAAAAGGCAACAGTGTCCTAGGGTTGGTAAAATTAATTGATCTCTGGATATACTCATCTCCCTCCATTGACTATGGGAAGAGTCTGGATTACCAGGTTGATATTAAAACCCAGTCTTTTGGACAGCAAAACTGATATGAACTCTGCCAAATAGTTATTTCATATTAATATTAAAAACAGTAAGCATTTTCATGGCTAATAAAAAGCTGAAGCAATCTATCCATAAGACTATGTCACATATAATAAGAGATATAATCAAATGTACTCTGTAGCCCAACTTGAACATAAATAGTATAAGCACTATCTCTAGGATTCAGCTGGTTTCCAGACAGCATCCATTTTTCCAAGAGAGAGCATAACACTCTATCACTTGCAAAGTAAATAGGAAATGTGATAATAAAGGTATAATATATTTTGTCTTACAAGCATTAGTTCAAAATTTATGATAGAAGTTAAATAAAATTCTGAAATACACCCATGCCATAATTATCCAATTCTTAGAATATTTACTATTTTCTGATAAAATATATCTGTATCTAACATGTGCTGTGAGATTCTGTTTGTAATTTGGCAAAATGAGTAATACAAAAGATAAAGTTTGTATCAAATCACTTAATAAATTTCTTGGTTTTCAGAGTAATTACTAAATCTCTTTCTTTTGTACTCCATCAGTTTGATAACACATGGAGAATGTGACTTGCAAGAAGATACGAATACCATATTAAATATTGTAAGCAACTGGAAAACTGAAATATTTTTCACCTTAAAACAAAAAACCCTAAACAATAGCAACAAAAAAACCCAGTGTACAATGTTTTCATGAAGTAGGATAAAACACTCTTGGAACATGAAAGTGAAAATTAGACTTATTCAGATCCTGGAACTCATACTATTGATTCTCAAGTGCACATTCTACGAGTAAATGTAGACTGATAAGTAATATTACCCTCTAAAATGAGGAGTGAGCTCTGTTCCATTAAAAAATCAGAACCAGATGCAAACTACAATGAGAACAAAATCAATACCTCACACAATCAGATGCCTAGAAGAAGCTACAGGGGTAGAGTCCAAAAAAAAAAAAATTTCAGCTGTTCTGAAGAGACTTTTATTTGCACACTCAATGAAACTGGCAATGAAATAACACATTTATTCCATGTACTGAATTTATTGATTACTCTCCTATGAAAGCAAATGCAGAATGGTTGATAGGGATACACAAGGTCATAAAGAGCCATCAACTAGTTCTACAGAAAAGATTATGTCTCCCCCTCTTCTAAAACTGTATTCAGATGATAAACTCTTGCCAAAAACAGATATAGGCTCTCTCCACAAGCTATTCTCAACAGGATCATCCATGACTCCCTTTCCCAGACTGCTCTGACACATTTCCCAATTTTTAATTTCAACAATAAGCTGTTGTGCTTTTTTGGCCCAAATACGACCTTTGTGTTTATATTTGCAGCTTATGCATAAAATGCAGACATGAACATTAAGGAAGGAAAAAATTATTTATGGTAAGAACAACAGTGGCAATGAACAAGACAGGAAACAGATCATGGACTCATTAAATTCCCTTAGATTTACAGCCTCCACAATCCTATAGGGAGACTTTTGCTTAACTGCATAGCTCTAACAGTTGGAACCATTCTGTAGACTGAAAGCTTACACCCATCTAGTCTTGTCTCAAGACTGTCTTTCACTTTAAACAGTCTTCCTCCTAAATGTATTCTTATCATAGATTTATGAACAACAATCTTTTCTCTTCTCAGCCACTCTGCAAAATTAGATACACTATATCCTTTTATTATCTCCTAAAGGCTTCTCATGCTTCAGTCAGCCTTAACCACTCAACACACAGAGCCCTGTTACAGTTTGTGTTTCCTAAATGTGTGTTGCCAAAATTCTACAAAAATATCCAAGGCCTTGAGATTGATGCTTCTTTCTTCTTTCCATTAGCACTGCATGGTCAAGTCCACATCCACACACTACTTCTGACCCAGACACACAAGCTGCTGTCATTTCCAGCCATGTGCCTTCAGTTTGTAAGATAAAATTCTTGTCATTCCTTAAAGTGTATGACTTGTACAGTGCTCCATTAAACATTATCTCATTACAACTGTCATTTCCAATCATCTCATCCTCCCTAAATGAGGAGCCTCCTCATTGTTGTTCAGCCTCCTCCCACCTGGTTGTCAGCAAACTTCTGTAGGGGTCTTTTGTTACTATTCATTTCTACTTTTGAACTTGGGTAACTGGGAATGAATTCTGTATTTTGCCATTTGAACTGGATACTAGCTGGCTCTAGTGCTTGAGAAGCAAACTTTTCTTAGCAACATCCACTTTCATCTTCTGGCCCATGAAACTAAGCACAAACAGCTTAGCTTTTTTTGTTGAGCTAAAGTTTGTGGTGACAGTTTATCCTTAACATAATGATGCAAAAGTATTCTTCAGTCTATTATTGCCCTGATTTATTTCATGTAGTAATCCCATTAATCTATATGAATTTTCCTCCTCCTTTCCTTCTCCACTCCCTGATTTTCAATTCAGACCCACTGTGGGGCCCTGATATAAGCACTGAGCAATGCATATTCCAAACTAACCAATTCCAAACCTTATTTAGCAACTTCTTAAGTGATAGTTGTGGAAGTACCCATTGGTTCTGTGAGGGCTTTGTTTGTTTGTTTGGGTTGGAATTTTTTTCTTCTTTTTTTGGTTGCTTTTTCAAAATTCCAGCATCTTATTTTATTAGTGTTATGTAGATATTCAGTATGAAAAAACACCTATCATAATCTGGAAGTAGTAACTACTAGGATTTCTGTTCAACACACTTTCAAAATGCAAAAATACACCAATTCTTGCAGTTCATTTAACAACATATCTGCTGTTTATCATATTATAAGACTGTATTAGGCACAGTTTTTAAAATTGGTCACTTTAGTTACTATGCTTTGTCCCACAAACGCAAAACTTCACATTTAATGGAACAAAAGCCTATCTTTAATTTTGCAATGTAATTCATAAAAAAAATTGTGTTTGGGATCAAGACTTCTAAGCATCACATTAGCTGGTCTTGAAAAAGCAACATGATGATATCTAAAACTCAAATGAGAAAAATACAATAAAAATACATACCTATATCATATGCAAGAAAGTCGGCAGAAAAGCACTTTGCACCATTACTGAGGGAAGTATCATTATGAGTGTTGCCACCGAAGATCAGCATCGCCCCGTTGATCAAGACAGCTGAATGAAGATACCTTGCAAAACCACTCTCTTTCAAAATAGTCCTGCAAAATATAAGAATTAATGTATACTGACACATTAAGAGCTATATACACACCAAGATGATTTACAGAATAATATAAAATACAAAGAAAACACTAAAGCTATTATTAAGTAAAGATTATTAAATTAATTCTGATTGTTTTTAAGATTATAATTTTTCTTATGTTGCAACAAATACTTTTAACATTCATTTAAAGTGTCATGCTTTTTATTTAACTAAAAATGCAGTTTGTCAGATAAAGTAGCATTTACATGTTTACAGTCTTCAAAAGTGTATGATGATATGGTACATTTTACTCAAAAATGACAGAAAACCCATTAATATTATTAATTCCTATTCTCACATATTCTTAGCCATGTTTTTTTTCCACTGAAGAAATACAATAAAGAACTTTTAGAAGGCTATTTTTTTCTTAATTGAACACTCAGACCTGGAAAAGGAATGGCAGAAGCCATTCCAGTTATGATGAAAAGCACTTGCACTGCTTCATAAATATATTGAGGCTGGCAGAGTCAGAGAATTTCAGTATGAAAAAAAAGTCCATGCACATTGAGTCTTTGATGCCTCTTCATTCATTTTAGCCTGTGTCTGTGTGGTTAGCTTTGTACCACAGCAGTAACATGGGCCCACCAGTAGCCAAAAGCTACCAATACTACAGTTTCAGGGTGGCAGTTGTGGGGCTAATAGTGAGAACAGAATACAAACTTGATTCAATCACAGAGAAGAAATCTTACCAAGGGAGAGAGTGACCATTTGTGAGTTTTGCCAGCTTGAATTAGTTAAGCAGACCAGCTGTAGACATGTTTGTGAGAAACTGATTTGATAGCCAGTAAAGAATGTTATTTACATTTCCCAATAATCTGTATCAGCATGAGTACTCAAACAGCTTTCAAGTGTAACATTTCACTTACACTTGTTTTACTATATGCTGCTCACACCTACAGTTAAACTTTTTTTTGTCATTTGTTTCCTCTAATAAACATACTGATGACAATCTCTTCTTCTGATTAAATAATATTCTTTCTCTTGAATCACATAGATAATACTTGTTGAATGTTTTTACATCACAGGATTTGGGGGAGAGGATTTTATGTCTCATTGTTTCAACATAATGATGTAAAACAATAAACTTGAGATTTTTTTCAACGGATAAAAGACTATGTTTAAAAAAGCTGAGAGGAAGCCATTTAACTTATCACATTATCATTTAAATAGTTCTCTCTACCCCTAAAAAGTAACATCAATGGAAATACTAAAGACTAAATGAAAGTAAACAAGGGTGGTGGTTTCTTACTGCTTAAACATGCAGTATTACTTTCAAGCCACCAGCATACTAACCAATGTGCTTTTGTTTTTAACCCGTTTCTCATTAACTGACTTGCAATTTTATTGTGTATTTCTGATCGATACAGTTTAAAAATAGAGAAACAGGTGTGTTTTTCTATCCAGGAATTAGCTTGACACAGAATACTTATGGTACCTACACAGAAAAACATAGTGTTCGATTCATCAGCTAGCAACATCCAAAATTAGGAATCACAAGGAAATATAATATTATTTCAAACAGTTATTTTCAACTAGTCATAGAGAAATATATATATATAGAAAGGTGTCACAGCCACAGTAAACCAAGACATTATTACTACATGTAATTACCCCATCCTCTCAGGTTTCAGTCCCACAGTGCAATAGACTTCCAGAGCAATATTCATGAAATGAACAAGAGTTAAATTCTCTACAGTCTGCAGAGATTGCCACATTAGTATAGATAGAAGTTTCATTATTAGTTTTTATATGAATAGTAATATTTCAATAATTATTATATTGTTGAACAGACCTTCAAAGGATATACTATCACTTTGTTCCAAGAATAGAGAGCATTAAAATTCTAGCTATTTAAAAATACATTAAAAAGGATAAAAAATTCTTCTAATAATGTTTCCAAGTGCCATGAGGTTATGGAATTCAAAATCAAGAGCCTCAGTGAAATCAAGCCCAGATTTCCAACATCTGAGAGCAAATCTTGTGTGCTTAAAGTTAAGCCATTAGTCCTCAACACAAATATTAAATTGTAAGCATAAAATGTTCCAAGAAATAGTTCTTGATCTCAAAACATCTTTAAGGTAAGAAAAAACAACAACAAAAAAAAAAAACCAAAAACCCAAAACTCAGGTCACCTTGTACACTTAACATATAAGTAGCATTTGTAAGTATAAATAAACTTAAGGGACAAGAACCTGACAAAAATAGAAATACCAAGAACGTTCATAACTAAGAATCCATATACAATACCAGGAATCTGCTCTCATATTTCTCATAGTTTTGTGAAACATAACCCTCTGCAGTTCTTGAATTTCTCTACTTCATTATATAACATGTACTTCAATGTACATCAGCAGTAAATTCATATCATGTAGGAACAGTACACACACACTATTTCTGCATGATGATTATGTCTGGATAGGTTAACTTTTTCTTAATTTCTAGAACATGTGCAAAGCTTCCTCACTGCCAGTCCTTCAGTATTGCTCTCTACTACTACCTTAAAGGAGGTTGCAAAAAGGTGGGGATCGGTCTGTTCAATAAAGTTACAAGTGATAGGATAAGAGGAAATGGCCTCAAGTTGCGCCAGAGGAGGTGTAGACTGGATGTTACAAAGAATTTCTTAACTGAAAGAATTACTAGGCATTGGAAAAGGCTGCCCAGGGCAGTGGTGGAGCCATCATCCCTGGACATATTTAAGAGTCGTACAGTCATAAGGGATATGGTTCAGCTAAGGACTTGTCAGGTGTTACGGTAATGGTTGGAATGATCTTGAAGGTCCTTTCCAACCAAGGTACTTGTGTGATTCTGTGGTATGTAGCTCCATTAATCCACTGGATAAAGGCTAATTCCCCACCACAGTTCTTTCATTTTATTGAAGAGAGCATCCTGTTCTGCAGCATGCAAAGAACACAGGGCCACCTACGTGACTTTACTAGAACATTACTCAACCTTACACTCTGTATTTTCTTTTTCAGTAACAAATAGCTTAGTTTCTTGTGTCACAAATCCCACTTACCACGTCCGAGTATTAACCTCATATCTGTAAAGATCATCCACCAATCCATATTTATTGCCAGGTAATGCTTTGTATCCACCATGGACATAAACAGATTTTGTCAGTTCATCATAGACACTAGTATGGCCATATCCCCCTTGCACAATTGCTCCTTTTGTTTCTGGTACAAGCCAAGAATTAGACCCTGCAATAGATGCACAAAAGACACAGACGTAAGGCTTAGTATTGCTAACACACAATACTAGGAGTGTTAAGTGTATAAAAATTATTTTCACTATAATTCTAAATACAGCAAAAACTAGGGAACACTTGTTAAGTAATTTTACAACAAGGTATCAAAATATCTACAATTGGATAATGTCATTAAACTATTACTGGTCATTCTTAATTAAATCACAGCTACATCTTTGTTGCAGGTGTCAGGCAGCATCTTATGTTTTTCCATGTGTGAGTTCAGCACACACACACAAAATAAAGAAAACAAACAAAAAAACAAACAAACCTTTTGGAAAATATGACATTAAGAGCTATAACTAACTCTCTCTCAACCCTAACTTCATCCCTCCAGAGATGGCTGATGAGAATTCAGAGCTCCAGCTACATCAGATGCATTAAGAACACCTGCATTCAATCATGGGAAAACTCTTTGAAGAATCCTGGCAGAAATTGAGCTGCTGGAGCTCTTGAGAAGTGTGCAACACAAGGTAGCTTGAAGTACACACAAATACAGGTAGGTACTTTGCTAGTACACTATAAAATTATTGAGCTAAAATCAGCTTCTAACTAGTGTTTCTTAGTTAAATAACTACAAATATACCTACTCAGTTGCTGAAAACTCACAAAAGGATAATTTGATAGCAGTTCATTAAACTGGCAGTTAAATCCACATTTTATATCACATCATTAATAACTGTAAAGAGACACCAGATAAAGCCATTCACAATAGCTGTTATGACTGAAGAATAAAACACAATTGAAAACTATGTTACCATAGTGATAAAAAGAGAGGTTAAGTGACTTCTTGTTGCCTGTGGCCCTGAAATTTCCTTTTTTTTTCCCCCCTCCATCTTTCCAGCTGATGACAAAAGAAAGCAAAAAAATGCAAGCCTGGAGGTATTTCCTATAGAACCCAGCCTAGTCAAAAGAGCACATGATGCTTAATCAGCCAGTTCTACAGGTGTGAAATGGAATAAATAAATCACTTGAAGCCTCTTGAAGATTACATCAGAAGAACAGAAAGTGTGGAGAAGGGCTTCCAAAATGAAGTAGTCTCCTCAATCTTAAGCTAAATTGGCTGCCATTTTAAACTTATTTACCCAACACCATAAACCTTACTTCATCTGAAAGTTAGTTTAAATTTCATTTCAAATTTTATCTGATATTATATAGGTATTTTAAGATCACTTCTTTATCCTCTGGATTCTTCTGTTCAGTGAAAAGACTTGTGACTTTCAGTTATTACTGTTGCTATTCTATTTTCATTATATGGTTTCCAAGCACTGCCTCTATAAACAAGTTACATTTTTATTCAGTAAAGAGTGCAAGTTATACAGTAAAGATTAAACTGGAAGACTTGTGCTGATTCTCTGTGTGTGTGAACACTGATATGTGTGTAATATACTATTTATATCTGACACAGTGTTTATATGTACTGTAATGCTACTAGTAACTGCAACTGAATACAAACAGCAAGTTTGTACCAAGAATATTGCTTTTCACATACATACTGCCTAAACAACAAATAGATTTATATGATAGATTTATGTAAGAAGGTTGTTGAGGAGTCAACCAGCAGATACATTTTTCTTTTACCAACAACATTCTATTTTTTTTTCATTTCATTAGTCATCAGTCCTAAAGATTAGTATATATGATTTTCAGGGGAAATTATTTCCCAGATTTCAACTTGTAAGTCTAATAGACAGCATAAAAATAAGTTCAAATTACTTTTGAAAGAAATCACAAAAAAACCCTAAAAATCATTCTACTAAGAGAAGCTTCTACTTTCATTCATAATTTGACATTTTTCATCAACACATGGACAATCTTCCACAGAATTCTACCACATAAGGTTTCTCTTGAAATGTTTAGGCAAGCCACTATGATAACTTCAGTCAATTAAATCTGCCAGATACTCAACAGCTGGACACAGTTACAGACTGTAATATTCTGGTCATCTTTGTCCAATATAATCACATCATGTCCAGCTTTAGAACAACTATTTCCAGGAGACCGAACAAGTGAAAGAGGGGAAAAAAGAAGGCATCTACAAAAACATGTAACGAGAGAAAGAAACTACAGCTGAGATAGAAGCTGAACTCCTTAATTTCATGTACTGAGGCTGGGGTATGACACACAGCAAGTGCAAGTAACTGCAGGCCCAGTAGCAAGCTTTTTAAACAAAGGTTGTTAGACACTACCAAAGTACAGCAACCACAGTGCTGACATTAAAGACCAGGGGAGGAAAGACAAGATCTGGAAAATTACAGACCTTAATCTTAACTCAGTAACATGCAAGGGTTTAAAACAAAGTGTTTTTGTAAAGAAGAGATAAATAAAAAATACTGAAATAAGCATTTACATCACATTTACCTAAAAAGCAATTATCTACAGAAGGAAGTGTGACTGTTCTCAGTACCTGGGCTCCAGTCATGTCCTTACCAGAGTGTCACCACGGGAAATCAGTAAATAAGCCATTATAGCAGAATGGGATTTGGGCACTGAACAAGAAGTGGCAATGAACAATGCTGAGAAGTACTGGGATCGCTAGGAAGACTCCTGAAGGATCAAAGGGGTGCAATTCATGACACTCACAAATTTAATGTGCAATAATTGCATAAATTTAGACACTTTCAACGCACAGAAGCAGCAGAACAAAAGAGCAAAATGAAGTAGATGATCTTAGGTCCTAGAAAAAATGGATCAAAATTCAACAATAACTTGAAGATACTGTGCACTGGGATTAGCAACATGAAATCCTATAAAATGGAAGCTCATCCATTGATAATGACTGAGAAGAATGAGTAGGAGCACTGGCTTCATCAGAGAAAGTCTACGAGCAATTAGTGCCTTTCTCATGGGTGCAGTCCAAATGTCACCAAGTGATATGTTTCCCATAAATTAGGATTAAAGTTATTTAGCTAGGCAATGGTGAAATCTCACCTAGAATATCCCACAGGCTTTTCTAGTTGTTCATGTCCAAGAGAGATTAACTCCTTGTGGAAAAGGTGCAGAGATAAACGATTAGAAGAGCAAAATAGTCAAGGTTGCCTTAATTAGGTTTGCAAAAAGGAGGATTAGTGTCTATGAAAAAAAGAGGATTGCAGGAAAGGACACAAGCTGCTTACATTAAAAAAATGTATCACCCAGAAAACAAGTGACTATAAACTGGGCAATGATAAAGGCAGGCTATTAATTAGATGTCTAGTATTAATTAGATGCCTAGTCACTAAAATTATAACAAATTTTCCAATGACACTGTAAACAAAACCAAACTGTTTCAGATTGAAAAGCATTACAAAATTAGGTGCTTACACATTTAAAAAGCACTGATTTTGATGGCCAAGCTGATAAATTCCAGCATTTTGCACACAGGAGGATAATCACATGCAAAGATGTAACACCATTACATCATGAAAGAATTCAAAGCAAGAAAAATAAGATAATTTATTTTTTTTCTTTTCAGTTCATTTCACTGTACAAAAATGATTAGGATGGCCAAATCAAGAAAAACTGAAAATTTGAGCAATAAAACATTTATCAATCAAAATAGCATTCTGAGATTGAGCTGCTCTAAAAAGATGTATACAATATATATTTTTTAATGGTGCACTAATAAACCCACTAAAAATTCCAAGGAAAACTAGATCAATTGGCCAACACTAAACAACTTTTGAATAGATAAGGTAAGAAGAACAAAATGTCCAAGAAGTACCTGAGTGTGCCACCTTCATTTCATTGCTGTGACAAAATTTAAAATTACTTTGAGCAACCATGAAGATTATGTTGATTTACAAAAAAAAAAAAAAAAGAAAAAGGAACCATTTTTAACCAAAAGCAACCTATAGCCTACTTCTAAATTCATAGAAAAATTCCATCTAGAAAGCAGTGATATTCTGCTAATCTAAACAAATCTCTGTCTTCTAAAAAATAAAATATGAGAAGACTGATTCAGAAGTTTCTGAACAAAACATCATTATTGTATTCACCTTGGGATTCACATTAAGGTTCTTAGAAGGTTTATGAGGTATTGCTAAACCTAAAGGGAAATAAATTTCCCTGGGGAGTTACCCAGAAAAGCTTTCTGGTTCAAGTTAGTAAAATCATTCACATAATTCCCATACTAGGATTTATTGGCTTCTCAGAAGTCATAAGTCTAGGTACAGCAAGAAAGGACAACAGGAAGCTCTTTTGTTCCTGCAACAACCACCATACCTTTGGAGTAGAAATTAATTTCTATGTTTTTAAGTGGTAAAAATCTGCCTACAAACCATGTCAATTTTTTCCAGAACGTATTTGACTTCGATAGAGATTGCTTTCTTTGGTAATCAGACAATGACAGAAATTTTCAGACCATGGATACATTTGATTCACATTTTGTTAGTAAGAACCATCTACCTATGTGAAAAGCTAGGCAATTCACAAATAATTAAAACTTCTTTAGGTGTATCTTGACCCAGACCCCATGGAAATAAGGGTACTTAGCACCAGAATTCCATGTATCAGGTTAATCAAAGTTCACTAACAGGACTGGATCACTAGAGGTTTCAATTCATATGAGCCAGAGGGTAAGTTGCTTCTTTCTAAGCCTCTTTCTTTCAGTAGAGATCTGGTAAAAGCTTGAAAAATAGCCTTCATTAGAACTAAAAGCCATGACTGATATAATTTAGAAAGAATAAAGCAGTACAATTTGAAATGTAGGCAAAGTATGTTTTAAAAGCAAGCAGAGAGGAAAAAAAAAAAAAAAAAAAGGACTCTTAATTTTTCTTCCCATAATGTCAGAAGCCCTTTTGAATAGCAAATTTTCTTTCTGATTCAGGTGGGCTCACAGCAATACTTCTATCACTTCCTATGTCTTTAGTTTGGATTCTAAGCTGCTGAAGTACCAAAAAACCTAAATTCATTCTTAGTTCAAACCACCATTTGGAATATTATGGTTTAAAATGATCCTACAGCTGCAAAACTGTAGATAAATGCTACAGCTGACACAGATTTCAGGAAAATTTGCTACAGAATTCATTGAACCTAAGCGGGGAGGGCAAGGAGGGAGATGCAATGAGGAAAGTGAAACGTGAGAATTGTCTATGGCAGAAATGGTTCAGTTACAGCCCGGGGACCACATTCTGCAAAGCCCTGCAGGGCCAATGATCCTTCAGCAAGAGTAGAGTCACTGAAATCAACAGGTTTCCACATTAATACCCTATATTGTTACAAATTAATATTTGATGGAATTGAAGCATACTTTCTCTAACAAACCAAATTTCTCATTAGGATGTGATAAAATTATCATCTCTAAAAGGAGATATAAATACTTGAGAATAATTAAGACCCATATTAACTGCCAGAGAAATAAGTGCTTACTCCTACTCAAAGCTTATCACTATGATATGAAAGGTTTGTGAGGTTTTTTCTTTATTTGATCTACATACTTTGAAGGAAAAAAAGATAAAGTTTTATTTCTTTTGCAAAATACATCTTTTCTGACTAAAAACAGAAGTGTTCTTTCACTTTAAAAAAAATCAGGATTTTTTTTTCACAGTATATGAGAAAAATAATTTGGAAACAACTTACTGATGTAGTATTCTTGCACAATGCTTGTGTAACCATAAATGGCCGAATATCCAAAGATTATTATCATAACCACATCTCTGCTGTCCAGCTCTACTATGTGTGCTGAATGACCTTCCACAGCATACTGCTGCCCATGCACAAGGACTGCAGGAGTCCTGGGACTCCATGTTTGACTGTGTATGTTGAAAATCCACAGCTCATCAGTAACGTTGCCATTATTTGTTTCAATTTTGCCTCCATACATGTAGATGTCTTCCTGTAAACATTGGAAGGGAGAGAAGAGAAAGCAAATAATGGATTACAAAAAGGTACCATCTGAACTGCATACTTCTGTGCTGTGTGGTATTTAAATCTTCACATTTAACTCATACTGCATTAACCAGTTCAAAATCAGGCACTAAGGCTTGACAATGATATTTAAACTAAACGAACAATGATGATAAGGAGACTATTTCTCTGAAAAATAAACCCAGTCAGGAAAATGACACCAAAGTGAATCTCAACCAGATTATTTCAAGCAGAAAACTTTGATTACATGGCTCTTCTAATTCATTCTGCAGCATTCTCAAAAAAACTCCAACAAAACAAACAGGAAAAAGCCCAACAATAAACAAACGCACGCAACACACACACAAACCTAAACAGAAAGGATTTTTTTTTCTTAAGGAATACTTCACAGAACCAAAATGTCATTTTCCACACACTCAGACTATGGGAATTTCATTCTGTGAGAGAGCACTTACTCTCTTAATAGTAAAGTAATTTAAGTCCTGAGAAAATTCACAGTGAACAGAGCCCAAAGAGAAGGGACAATGTGTGAATAGCATCCTCTTGGGCACATTTGCTGACATGAATTCCCATAGGGATGTACTTTGAGTTCTTTTAAAGGGATGCAGAAGGGATTTTTCCAGTCTTCATGAACCACATACCTCAAACAGCAATACCATCTGTTCCAATAAGTAACGAATGATTTACTTAAATATTGACAGAAAGCAATCCTACTAAATCTCAGACTTCATCTAGAATAGCAAACCAAAGCATACGAAGTCACAGAACAAATTTCAGCTTGTTGGCTTTACTACCTGAAGGACAGTTTATCCTAAGTAGAAAAAAAAACTGTCTCTGGTGCAGAGAACAGAGGCCATAGTTACGGCCCTTATGAGGCCACACCAGAAACGTTCACTCTGCATCCCATCTGCGTGGTGGTTGTAAAGTTGACAGTTGATTTCTCCATAGAATTTAATATTCTAGGATATAGCCTAAATTCAACTAGCTGTAACCTTAGCATATTTGGCAAAGTTTTGCTTGGCACAGGATGCTGAAAAAGAGAAAAAGAGACTAAAAGATCAACCATGTGGAAATTTCAGACTTATTGTACAAGGAGCTGACAGGACTTAAACAGAAGTGTAAACTGCATTCATACATGATGAACTCAAACTGGAAGGCACGTAAAATACAGATAATCAGTAAACTGACAGCAAAGCAAAGGTCTGAGAGGGTTATAATGCTGTCTATATACCTACGGTTGATGAGAATCAAGAGAGTCTAAGGACCACATGAAAAAAATTTCTAATACTCAAAAGATTAACCAGTAAATGAGTGACCAAGTTGTCTGGCCTGTCTTCAAGAGTGCACTTGAAACTTCTGCAAGTTTTTCAACTGTTTTTTCATTTGAGGCATGTAAACAATTACTGATTTGGAACCTAAATCACTCCTATGCAGTGGTAATCTGTGTTACTGCTTAGTTTGGACCACTAGCATTAGAAAAAGAGATGTTCACATCTTTTGTAGTAGGAATTTGTAGTAAGCTTTAATGTATACATCTGAACCCATTTATTTCCTATGACATAAAACAACATTTCAAAGAGTTTGGTAAAGACCCACAGAAGCTGTAAGGAGGCTGTGCACTGATTCAAAGGAATGGCTTAAACAAATATTCTTCTAATAAGAATCCTATATGACTCTACTGCCACGTAGATCTCAAAAGGCAAATCAGCATTCCTAACATAGTGGACTATTTATTCACTTTTAAATGCAGATCACAGAAAGTGAAAGCTAATTAGGGAGCTGCAGATGTTGTGTAACATGATTTAAAAGAAATATATACATTTCTGACACTGAAAGACACTATACAAAAAAAGGTGACCTGAGGAGCTGTGTGAACTTTGAAACGATTACTCAGACAACTGACAATAAGTCAGTCCTCCTCACAGTTGTGCTTAAATGATTCAAAGTTCAGATAAAAGAACACTTCTGTGAGAAGCAATCTTTATAAATGACACAGCACATCCTGTACACAAGACTATTCACAGAGGAAAAAGACAAGGAAGTCATGACGACTACTTTATCAACGAAAAAAAACAGATTTAACTGAGCTTTGCTCAGGACTATTTCTGAGATTAAGAAGTTCCTAGCGCTGCTGAAAAACACTTTAGAAGTTAGTGATGATGAGCTGAACATGGAGAAAAAGTCTCGCAGACCAAAATCAGTGGAAGAAATACAGAATGAACAAATGTTCTATGCATATTTATACAGAACAATATGCTCTGGGCATGTAAAGGTGGACACTTAACTGGAAAGATTAATCAGGAAGAGACTGTAGGAAGGATACAAATGCAAACAGTCATGGGCAGTCTAAATATTAGGAAAGAAAATTAGGAATCCCCTTACAAATTAATGCTACCTTTATAGCTTACTTATAAACTAAGTATAAATCAAGGTATATGCTAAAGGCGAGGCTTTTTGACAGGCACAAAACACAAGATACAGAGTTTTGAGAGTGCAAGTGAAAATGCAAGAAAATGCAAGAAACATCCTAGATATTTGTTTATAACAACATAGTTTACCACAAAAGCAATGAGACGAAAAACAACAAGAAGTATAAAACAGAGTCCTTGTGGAATTAGTGAGGAAAAAGTGCCAAGCACCTGGCCCAGATGGAAGATGTTACAAATTGTACTCCTCAGCCTGGAGGAAGGACAAGATCAAGAGGCAGAGACTGTCCAAGGAACAGATAACAAAACAACAGGCAGGTAAGCACCAAGAATATACAAGGCCTCCAACACACTCATATTTTAAAGTTTTGATACCACATGTCAAAAGCAACACTTTTAATCACAGTGGCAGATAGTTCGGGTGAATATTTATTCAAGAAATTAACCTTGTCATTTCAGACATTCATATTAATAAAATTATCTAAGAAGTTACAAAAACCTTTAAAATGTTTTTTCAATGAAAATTTCCTATAAGCTAGTTTTTGCACAGTAGTTTTAACAAGACTTCAAATTCCTTCACAGAGGAACATTTCACAGGGAGACAAAAATTAATCTGGGCAAGGAAGTTACTCAGCAAGATGACCAAAGGAGCAAGTAAGAGCATCCACTTGTCTGATAAGTCCCAGATCACAAACTATAACCAGGGTTATTCTTCTACATACTTCACATTGAAACCTGAACAAACAGATGGCCAAAATCATTAGTTCCTTTTGTGTTGGCCATGTTCTCTTCCCTACATTACATCTCAGTGTTAATATTGATTTTATATTCCATACAAATGCAGCAGTTCAAGAACTTTCCAGAACTTCTATTTTTATTCTTTAGACTGCAATTTTACTTTTTTTCCCTAAAAGAACAATGCTTATCAGCTTCTCTGACTGTACCTGGGAACACTATACTGTTATGCAAATCCTGCCTGCATTCCAAAGGAATCTTATCTGGTAGTTATCACCAAAAAAAATTGTAAGGGAAAAAATAATCCATTTCTAATGAATTGGAAGTAAATTAATCATGTAAAAATAACCACATAGTTTTCATTTTCTAATTCTTGACTGTACAATAGCTGCACAGAAAAGTTTATCTCTCAGAAATGAGTTTTCTGCCTTAATTCTTATATAGATCAAATTGGTTCCTGAAAATCTGGCCAAAGAAATGCTACTCTCAAACCACATTAGGTCATTATCCATTTCTTGACGTAAGACTATCAAACTGATTTCCTCCCTTAGACTGTACACATGTATTGGTATATAAATTAGCTTTACAAAAACCGGACTCAGATTCATCAGAAATCTTATTAACCATACTTACCTGAAATTTGACTCAAATCTGTACATCATTAAGAAATTTCTGGACATTTTTTTCTCATGCAAAACATAAGTAAGACTCAAAAAGAATCATCTGGCAATAACTTATCCATCACAAGCCCATTCTGTGCACTCAGTACGTGCCACCTGGTTTAGGACTAAGACCTCCTGTACCTTTCCCCAGACCATTACCTCCTTTAATATTGTAACATCAAGAAGATTATTTCATGTTTAAGATTAGAAGAAAAAAATTAGTAACCAGCATTCCTAGTTGATCCCACAATCCTCCCAGACTGGAAAGCAGAGTTATGTTTCCCTTTTTCCAGTCAGTGGGAATGTCACCAGACTGCCACAACTTTTCAAATATGATAAATATGATGGAAAGTGGTGTTGCAACTTCATCTGCCAGGAGCATCCCCTTACGAGCCATGGATGGATCTTGTCAGGTCCCACGGACTTGGGCACTTTCAGGTTCTTTAGATGTCTCAAACCTGCTCTTCTCCTACAGCAAGCAGATCTTCCTTTTCCCTGTCTCTGCCTTTGCATTCTGTGACCTGGACAGTGTGGCCAGAGCCATTACTGCTGCAGACTGAAGCCAAAAAGTCATTCAGTTCCACAGCCTTTTCCATACCCTGTGTGACAAGGTCTCCTGTTTCCTTCTGGAGAGGGCCCACATTTTCCCTGTTCCATCTCGTATCACTGATGTACCTGTAGAAACCCTTCTTGTTAGCCTTGATATCCCTGGTCAGATTTAACTTTTCCTGGGCTTTAGCTTTCCTAACCTGATCCCTGGCTTCTCAGACAGCTTCTTAGTACACCTCCCAGGCTACCTGTCCCTGCTTCCACCCTCTGAACACTTTTACTTTTTTGTCTAAGAGTGTCCAGGAGCTCTTTGTTCATCCCTGCAGGTCTCCTGGATTCTTGCCTGCCTTCCTCTTTCTTGGGATGCATTGCTGCTGGGTTTGGAGGAGGCAAACTTTGAATACTGACCAGCTTTCCTGGGCTTCTCTCTGGTCCAGGATTTTATGCTATGATATCCTACCAAGCAGATCCCTGAAGAGGTTGAAATCTGCTCTCCTGAAGTCCAGGGTAGCAAGCTTGCTGCAGACCCCCTTGTCACCCTACAGATCCTGAATTCCACCATTTCATGGTAACTGCAGCCAACGCTGCCCTTGAGCTCAACATTGTCCTCCAGGCCATTCTTTTTGGTAAGAGCAAGGTCCAGGATTCCTAGTGCTGTTCCAAATTATACAACAGGCAACAAAAATAGGCATCTAAGAGCACAGTAAAACAACTGGTGAAAGATTTTTTAATCACTCATATTAAAGTAGTTTTTATTTTTTGTTTTGTTAATGTTAGCTTTGATTAGACTAATAAAAAAATACCAGAAGAGATATACAAACTAAACCTCAATACCAATTAATTTGGAAAAGGAATCAAAATAATTACCCCTTTTTAATAAAACTTTAAAATTGCAACATTCATGAACCTCAAATGAGTCAAATTAAATTTGACTACATATAAAATGGTCTATATACTAGAAAACATCTTTACGATTACTACTATTCCAACCTGCCTGTTTGCTTCATTCCTATTGCCAATCTCAAAGGAAACAAATCTCAATGACCAGCCCTTCTTTCCACTGTCTTGGGACTACAAGAAATGGTTTACTTACAAGGCTGAATTCTGTGACACAACCACAAGCTCACAACAACTAAACTCCCAGCAATGACCATACACATACCTTGTATGCAAGTCCCTTTCTATTTTACTCCAGGAATCTCATATTTTTCACTTAACTGCCTAACTCACTATCTAGTCACTCTTTAGCAAAGTTGGATGTATCTACTTTAAAACCTCACAAGCCATTTCCTCCCATCTCTTCATAACCCTATTTTTTATTAATGATTTCAAGGTACATTGACATTTTTCAGTACTGAGATGCCAGAAACTATATCTAATCTTTGAGATACAGCAGAACCAATTGCTAACAGATACAGGTAAGACCTTTCCAATAACCAGTCTGAAGCGGCACTGACAGTAATACTATCTAATAGTTTAGTTGGTCTAAAAGAAAGTATACTTTTGTACCCTCTCCTCTATAACTGCATAAAAAGTCTTAGTTACTTGTTACAAATATACATCAGTGGGAGTCTTCTGATCTTTTTTCTTCAGAATAAGGAAGTATAGTACTTCAATTTTAACTAAAGAAGCTTTCTGAGGGAAACGGGCACAGTAACTTATTTCATTCTCCACAGAGTCAATTATATAGCTTCAATTTACCTTGCACCACAATCAGGCAATACCAGCTTTCTTCTCTCACTCCAGTCTAGCACTAGGCTTTGAAATCTCAGGAGCTCAAGTCAAAAATTTAATCTAATTTCTTCTCTGTGGATATTTTTTCTCGCCACTATAAAAGAAATGTTACACAACGACTAGTACACAGCTCACGACAAAGCTCAAAGCTGCCATCTCTAGGTTTTATGTTCTACTACTCACACTAAATTATTTTCCTGATTTTTGAAAGACTAAACATCTGAAAGGAAAAATATCACAAGTTTATCCCAACAAGTTAATTTAAGAACTTAATTCAAAAGGATGTACTTTTTCACTTCAAATTTCTTCCACTTACATGATCAGCTAAATTTTGGCCCATGTAATTTTTGATGTTTGACACAATCACTAATACAAGCAACATACTTATTATTTTACAAGAGTGGTGCTGTGTTCATTGTTAGTGAATTCTAATTACTAATGAGCAAGTGTCTTGGACAACAGCAATAGCTTCTTTACTACACAGTTGCTTGTGGCTTTCGTTAACAAGAGTTGCATTTCCTCACTGAGATCCAAAAAAAATTTCAGAATTAACATAGGTTTATTATATTTAGTATTTGCTGGCAAAAGTATCTCTAAAATGGTTACCCTTTAGTCTGTAATGCCTCAAGAAAATACTAGTACTGTCAAATAAAAAGGTTAAATGAGATTTGAAGCCTTTATTCTGAACTGCTAAATGACACATTACTTGAATGCTTCCCAACTAAAAGGTCCACATTTTACAAAAATGGTAATAACCAAAGATTTTGGTCAGAAATATCTGACCTTTCAAAGAACAGATAATACATTAGTAATGAATCAGGGAACTGATGAGAAGAAAAGCAATTTTTGAGTTGATGTTGAGGTACGCATGACATCTAGTTCATATTACTACTGAAAAGCATCTCTGTGGTACTAACCATGTCACGTACAGATTCAACATCTCTGGGAGAGCAACTGATGCCAGGAAAAATAACACACACACCAAAAAAATCCACTTGCACCTACAATTCTGTTAAACTTCAAAAGGTGCACTACATAATAGGAAGAGCAACTATCAAAAGAAACTAAAAGGCACGACTAAAAGCATGAACTCCTTAATGACAATATCAAGAGACTTTAAGGATGTGCTCAGATCACATGAATGCTTCCTAATTAAAAATAACCCAAAATTTCCCATTGCAAGCAACAAAATAAATAAAGCTTAACTTAGCAGGAGGATAATGGAAACAGCTAGAAAATTGTACTTCAAAAAAAGGTCCAAAAAATCCAGCAAATAAAAATGCAGTAACATACCAAGGCAAGCAATGAAACAGCTAAGAGAGCCGCCTGCAAAATTTATATATAAAGTAATAGTAAATCATTGCTCCAATGCATTAGAAATTCAGCCAAGTACATAATTTGTGATGCCAACACAGATTCCAAAGGAGTATTCTGAGAAGATAAAGACATAGCAATGAAATTAAGAAGTTTTCCCATGTGAGTGCTTCATGGTAGACTTCCCAGGTATTTCCACAGCAGCAATTAATAACAGAAGGTTATAGTAAAATAAAGTAAAATGACAAAATGAGCAGCAACAAGTCACAAGGATCAGTTCTGAAGGATTTTAAGAACAAACCAGTTGACCCTGTATGTACACACAGTGGTGGGATTTGAATTTACTGGAATGAGATCACAGAATCATAGAATGGTTCGGGTTGGAAGTGACCTTAATGATCTGGTTCCAACTCCCCTGCCACGAACAGGGACACATTCCTCTAGACCAGGTTGCTCAAAGACCCATACAATCTGGCCTTGAACACCTGCAGGGAGGGGGCATGGACTGGGACCTGTGCTACAAGTAGCCAGTCTCCCAGATAAGATCCCCTTAGACATACGTTGCAGCCTTCTCTCTAATCCTGTCTCGAGCCCTGTCTGATTTTGCCCCACGGCTGGACTCCCTGGACAGTCACTGGACCTGGGGCACATCTTACCATGTCTGAGGTTTTAAGAAGACCCTGCTGCCAACACCCAGCTGTGCCTGATGGGTTCAATCCCTGAGGATGGTGCCTAGTTATCAAGGGCACTGCCCACATTGCAGTCACCCTTGGCTCTCAGCTCACTTTCCCTTACTGCAATTCCAATTATATTAGCCCTCTTTTACTGGTGGGTTTAGCTCTGAGAGTTTATGGTCAGCTAGTAAGTGACTTTGATACACTGCACAATTTCTGAAGAAAGATTGTGCAATAGATCCAAGTACTGAAGACACTAATACAAGATGCTTAGGGACTAGAAATTACATTATTCTCAAAAATCTATGTTAACGAGGTATCATTTTGATATCACCAACAGCACAAACAAAGCAATTAATTAAATAGGATACTGAAAAATCCAAACCTGATATAAAGCAAGAGTGTGTCCATATCTCTGGAGTGGCCCTTTGGATACAGGTACTACGTTCCAAATACTGCTTTCCAAATTGTAGCTAGAAAAGAAATAGAAAAGTAAATATTTTCTACCTGCAGAGACATATGGACTTTTGTATGTTTGAACTGACTTCTCATTAGCAAAGTGTGTACACTTGACCAGTCGCTGCTGTTTATCTGTTGTGGTCTTTTGTTGGCAGCAGTAACATGATCATTTTTAACTGTTACAACAGTGTACTAACAGGTGAGTGTACTAAACGCTTCTCACTGAAAACACAAGGAGCTTTCAGGGACCCATGAACAATCTCAGAAATTGGGATTGTAATAAAAATCACCACACTTACAAGAAAGCTATGAAGTTAGATTGCTAAACTTGCTATTATGAATCACACCCAAAAAAACCCCATACCAAACTGCTTCTGCCACAGTCTTCTGCAGTACTTCAAAAACTTAGTCCTGAGCACCCCCTCAGTTGTATGGTTAATTTTAATTTACATCTCATTTTAATTAACAATTAATCCATTCATGATTTAGAACACAACAAGATGGAAGAGAGAGAAAAAATAAGACAGAGATAGAAAACCATCAAAGATGATATTTGTTTTGGATGATTGCAAAGATGTGGAAGAAAACAAGAGGTAGACAAAAATAGAATAAACATGGCAATAAAAGTACCCTAATACTTCCATTCACCACATTTAGGGCCTGTACATACATACAAATCATCTTACAAACTGTCATAAATACAAAGTAGTGAAATATGGATGACCTACCTAACCTTACTCGCAGGGCACCAACAGCCTAAGTGCATGCATTAAATACAAGTCTCCTAAAATTATAAATTAATTTAATAATGTAAATAGCATTCTAGATGTACTACCTGAAAAATATCAGCATGTGGATTTCTTTTACTGTGTTATCACCAGGAACAGTCACATCACATAGATTGATGTTACCCATATTTTATTATCTTTTTTAATTGTAAGGAAATGACAATCAGACAACAACACTGTTAACAAAAAATGTTAAAACATATAAAACTTCCAGTTAAATTGCAGGATACCTCCCTGGTAAGATCTGTTTTGTCATGTGAGGAGGGATACAACAAAGGAGAAATCACTTACTTTAACACCATTTGGAATGAACTGTAGTTAAAAGTGTATCCACCAATCACCCACATAAACTTCCCATGCAGGACTGCCTTATGGGAGGCTCTTCCCACAGAAGGGCTGAATGGCTTCACATTTGGTAGAATCCAGTAAGACTCAGTGGAAGGGACGTTCAGAGAACAATCTGGACCTGTTATGTAAACAAACGTGCCATTAAGACAGGGATGTTAAAGCCAATAAAGCAGAAATAGGGGAGGCTTAATTACAGATGTCAGGATTGCTCATTCTGATAAAATACAGTATACACTTTTATGTTTAAAAGGTGCTTAGTGTAAAGAAAACTAACAACAAGAGACATCAGTCAAATTAAAAGCATTACATTAGCTCAAGTAATACTGATACATTTCTGCATTCTTCTCAGAAAACAAACTGTCTGAGTGATAAAATTGAAAGAAAGGCATAATGCATCATCTTTTTAAATGCTGTACAGGTCTAAAATGTGTAGCACTGTATACACTGCATGTTACCTCTGGAGGAAAACTATACTGCATTTGAACAAACCATGTAGACTTTTATATGAAAGCAAATAACATTACAATAAATTAAGTTACAATACAGGTTATACTATATCATATGGAGTCTCAGAAATCAAAATTTACCCTTTGCTAATACCATTCTGCATTATCTTGCACTGTAAAGTGCTTTATTAAAATAATTATTTACATATTTAAATTTTGTTACATTTTATAGATCATTCTACAAAGCTACCAAAGCCCACAACTATGTATTTTTGTGAATATATTTTAGACGATTATTTTTGCTAACCAATGAAAAGTCAGCAAAATAAAAATATTTTATATTATTATTAGAAACATGAATAGGAGAAATATTTCTTTTTCATTTGTTTTTTAATAATCAAAAAATCAAATGTGATTTCTTCATAATTGGCTTATGCTCTAGAGGGTGGAAGAAATTCAAAGTCTTGTTATTTAAAACCTGAATGTATTCAGGCATCTGCATAAAATAAAATTAAAAAGAAAAAAAAAGAGAGAGTATATGCACCACTTGCCCAGTGACTGCACACCATTACTGACTGGCATTCTTTCTAGATGGGGAACACTGAATTTTTGAGACACTGATGTGTTCACCCTAAGCATTATCAATCATAGAATTGAAGTATGTCATCAGTGATGGCATAGAGACATTGTCAGCTGAATTATTTCTGTAGTTGGATGCTGGTACTAAGAGCAATGTTACATCCCTCTCTGCCTTCCTACCTGGGTTAAATCCTTCCCACACGAAATTCAACATAGACAATTTAAAACTATGCAAGCCACCTTCTAGTTGACTGAAGAAAATAAGTCTCTCAGTGAACAATTTTTAGTCAGTAGCAGTCTAATCTTAAGATAACTTACAAAAATATCACCTCAACTCTCAGCAGTGGACAAAAAAGCAAATCATATGTTAGGAACAGAGAAAACTGCTCCTCCATTGTATAAATAGTTGTTTACTACAAATAGAAAAGAAGATTGATTAGAACTGGAGACTGTTTAAAGGAGAGCAATAAGAATGGTCAAAGGAATTAAATGGCTTCTGTAATTGTTAATAGTAAGTTGGCTAAAAACTCTTTCACTTGGGGAAAAAAAGAAAATTTGGAAGTAAATGACAAATGTCTACAAAGTAAGTGACACAAAGAGGGCGGATATGAAGAATATAAAGTCCCTCTGCTTACAAGAGTTGAAATTTATCAAATGGAGCTTGAAGAAGCCACATTCAAATCAAGAGGAGATAGTTCTTCACGCAAAAAGCCCTCTCCTGACAAAAGATGCTCTGGATGCAAAGGCTTACACTGAGTCAAGGAGATACTGGACAAGGTATTAGAAAAGAGACCTGCTGAAGTTTACTAAATAAACTACATAAGTAATTTACATCAAGTTCATAATTTAAAACATATCAGGGGGTGGGGGGAGGAAATTACATATTTCCAATGTGTGTTATCAGTTTGGGGCAACTTCTTACAATTAATTCTTACACACAATGGCCAGACAAATAATCTGTACTTAACCGGTTGTCAACTTTTCCTAGTAGTCTATAGAATAATGAAGTCCACTTGTATCCAAATTACCTTCCAATTTTTAAATAATGGAGACACTCAATTCCCATTGTTCATTATGCCTTCTACCCAGAAATGATTAATGGTATTTGAATGAGTTCTAATGAGATTATGAACAATTCAGTATATTATTACTTAAGTATTAATAATAGATACTATAATAGAAATGTAAACTCAGCAAGATTCTGATTTGATAAATCACTGCAGGAAAAAAAAAGTTAATTTAAAAGTGATTAAAAATAACAATTGATTAAGTATTCTTTGATCAGGGAAGGGCTTATAATTGTCAAAACGGTGCCTCCAGTCAGAAAAAGAAAACACATTTATGTATTTTATTACAGCTGCTAACCATTCTTGCACAGACATTTAGTGGTCAACAGTGTCGCCTAGTGGCAAAATAATGAATAAAACACACAAACTCATGGCAATTGATTTGAGAATTATCATTTCTGGAAACAGGGAACCACAAGAATTCATTTGGCAAATAAAAAAAAAAAAATCTTGCCTATGCTATATTCAGATGACATTAAATGTATTAAAATGAGCACAAGCAAAACCTTCGTATAAAACATAAATGATGCCAAAGTCTTAACAACACTGTCAACCATATCAGTGATGGAAAGAGTGTTGCAGAGAAATTTCTTACATTCTTAGTGCTCCATTGCTGCCCTGCTCTGAAAGACAAGAAAGGCACAACAGAGAGGAGAAACACTATGTTCTGGCACAGAGGAAGGACACATTCTAAGGAGACACCTGAACTCAGGAGCTTGAAAGCAGCAAGTCCTCCATTGGTTTCTTCAAACAATAAGTTAATACTCTGGATATGACACATGCCTTGAAGTGGCATCAGCTGACACTGCCACTGACACTGAAGAGGCAAACCCTGGCCTCCCCTCCCTGCTTACTCCCCAACTCACGTGGCTATTGGCACCAGTTTTCACCTGGCTGCACAATGAACCAGATGAGGAAATGCATCCATTCAGGTCAAAACTTGCTCTGCCTTTTTAGTCAGGTCAGCTTTGAATCGGGATGTGTTCCCTTATATGTTTCTCCTTGCCCTCATATGCGTGGTTGTGTCAACAGGAGTAAGACTGTATGGCCAGAGCTGCCTCTTGAGTGAAAGTGTAAAACATTCCTGGAGTTACCATTGTATGTATCAAGCTGTGCAAAAATTGAATGCCTAGTTTCAACTTGGATTCCTGAAATTGTATGAATAAACATGAAATATAGTACTGTTTTTTATATATATTTATCTGTAGATTCTGTGACTGATCATCCTACTAATTCACTTGACACTTTGCAGCCTTTAGTTCTTAGAGTATATGAAATTAAGAATATTAATTCATATTCTAATTGAGATAGACAAGCATGTTTTCTCCCATGTGTCCTTCCACACTTCAAGATTATAAACCAAATTCTTAATACCCTTAGTCCCCAAATGTATGAATTTACAATTTATGCTGAAGTAATTACATCCCACACATTACCCTAACCCAAAATGATAGAATAATACTGACTTTTACCAAACCATCATTTGAAGAGCAGGTGCTTTGTGTGACTGTTGCCTTAAAAAGGCAAGGAAAATGCAGGACTCAAAATTATATATAGCATGAAATGTCACCATTATTTCAGCATAAATACAATTTGTTTTCAGAAACATCATACTCACTAAGTACACAACTTTTGTGCAATAGAGAGCACTGCAGGTGCAGAACAAATATCATGAAAATATATTTTATTATTTTCTATGTAGATCTAATTTTTCCCCATTTATTTAAAATTTTATTTCTTTCTTATTTTTCTAATATGTCACTGAATCCCCTGGAGGAAAAAAAAAAAACGAAAAAAAAACCAACAACCACCAAACACTTTAAAAACAGCAAGCAACTTTATACACCTGAATTGGAAGTCAATTATGTTACCCTCAAAGGTAGGAAAAAATTCTATATGTTTTTAAAAAGTGATTTACCCACATGACAAAAGGAATCTAATTTCTGTTTTATTGAGGAGTTGCATAAACTGCCAGAGTAACAATCTGTTCTAGTAGTTCAAGTCATAAGATCAATTTCCACCTATTAAGAAAACATCAACTACTGTCTTCAACCCTAATGTTTCCCTTTGGGATCACAGGATAAAACAGAAGTATTGGCACGTTGAATATAAATGTCATAGTCCTGTTTTTCATACAATCTAATCAAACCATTTAAATAAAGTATTTGTTCTTGCTCATTACTTTTTGTTTGATATCTGATCATTTGAGAATTATTAATTTAACATAACTTTTCAACCAGCACAAATACAAACCAAATATTACTGTTATTCAAGTACACAATAAAATCTTCATACGACAGTGAATTTTAGATTATTAAAAATATTTTTGAGAATGGAGAAGATACCTGACTATACTTTCAGCTTCTGTGGGAAGTCTTACCAAGCAGGAAATCATCTTTCTCACAGGAAAGCTATGAGGAAGTAACTACAAAAAATATAAAGTTGCTATGTAAATGAAAAGATAAGAGTTGTTTAAGAATGTCTCCCAGGATCTCTGGCAGAAGGTGTATTCATGTATTCCTGCACTGCCACTGCACAGCTCTACAACATACATATATGGCATATAATTATTTCCCTTCTCCTGCAACTAGTATTGCTCCAAATGAAACTTAGTCCAGATTGATCCTGGATAGGTCTCCAGCTGAAGCAGCATGTAGTGAGTTGTGCCAGGACTCGGTCTCCTCCACAACTGAAACAAGTCAGAAATCCTTACGCACAGAAGCTGACACAGTTCCTGAAATGCCATCTGGTTGCTATTAGTCAGTTCTATTTCTTTACTCATCCAGGAAAAGTGGATCATCCAAGGGTGATATGGGCCTGGGTAATCTGCAGGGTAAATCTGAATCAAGAGGACTGCACTGCCTGTCCCTAGTGTGTGCTGCTCAACTTTTCCAATTAACAGTAGCTGACAGTGCCCGTTGGACTAAACATTTTGGGACTCTGTGCTAATGCCAGCAGGATATCAATCTCTAAACATCTCTGCTAACAACTTTTAGAAAACTTCACAACTCGAATAGTCAAAAGCC